TTTGAGACGGAGTTTCGCTCTTGTTACCCAGGCTGGAGTGCAATGGCTCACCGCAACCTCCGCCTCCTGGGTTCAGGCAATTCTCCTGCCTCAACCTCCTGAGTAGCTGGGATTACAGGCATGCGCCACCATGCCCAGATAATGTTTTTTTTTTTTTTTGTATTTTTAGTAGAGATGGGGTTTCACCATGTTGACCAGGATGGTCTCGATCTCTTGACCTCGTGATCCACCCGCCTCGGCCTCCCAAAGTGCTGGGATTACAGGCTTGAGCCACCGCGCCCGGCTATATTCTTTTTTGAAACTTCTTGCAAGAATATGTGAACACAGGGAAGGGCTGTTGCATAAAATGAGTGTTTACTATTAGAAATTAAAGAAAATTAGGAATAGGATACCTTTTCCCTGCATATGAATATTTTTTAAGGAATACCATCCTATTTCTTATCCCAAAGAATGAAGAAAAGTTGGCAATTCTGACAACCTGCAAGTAGGCAATGGATACCTGGGTAAGTGCTTTCCCTGTCCTACTGCCATGTAAGGACCTAGGTTAGAAAGCTCATCTGGAAATAAATGGTGGGTGAGGACATTAAACAAGTCCAATTAGTATTAAACATAGAAATCTTATTTCTAAATGGAATGCAGAGAAACAAAATTTCCATACACTTGGACAACAGGTATAAGTACCATTTCAATATTTTCCGGGTGCGTTTCTCATTTATCTTCATTTTCTGATCAGACATTGAAGTTTTTTGTTTTTTGAGACACAGTGTTGCTCTGTCACCCAGGCTTCAGTGCAGTGACACTAAAAAAGCCAACTGCAGCCTCAACATCCCAGCTCAATCTGTCTTCCCACCTCAGCATCCAAAGTAGCTAGGACAACAAGCAAACACCACCATGCCCAGGTAATGTTTTTATTATTTGTAGAGTGGGGGGGGTCACCCTACATTGCCCAGCACATCTGGAACTCCAGGGCTCACAGATCCTCCCACCTCGGCCTTACGGAGTGCTGGAATTGCGGGTATGAGCCATCATCACACTCAGAGAAGTTTCTGTGTAATAATGACAAGTATAAAAATAAGCCACCCAGAAAGCAGAGGTTGCGGCGAGCTGAAATCATGCCACTACACTCTGGCCTGGGTGACAAGAGTGAAACTCTGCCTCAAAAAAAAAAAAAACCTAAAAAAGCCAAAGAAATGACCACTGGATGCTACTGTAGGATATTGTTTCTGGAGATCAAGTCAAGTAATGAAATTAACCTATTAAACTGTGGAAAATTTATTAAAATAATCAGTTAGAATCTATTGTAGGATCTGGAACTTTTTCTCTGAACCTTACCACTGTAATAACTTGATATTCTGAAGAAAAAAAAATCTGAAAAGAAACCTTAAATTTATTCTGTGAAAAATTAGAAAAAAATTGATTATACTACAGTTAAATACAAGTAAGTTCAGGGGCTTGTACATAGAGCTTTTATAACACACACACACACACACACACACACACACACACATATTTATATATAATTTATATTTATATATAAATATAAAAACATATATATATTTATAAAAATATAAATATATATATTTATATAAATATAAATATAATTTTTATATATATATAAAATTAGTCTCTCTTGTCAGTAAGACCAATGTCTTTTATATATACATATATTATTTATATGTAGAAAATATATATATATATAATATACATATATATATATATATATGACATTGGTCTCACTGACAAGAAAATCATGACTTTCCGACATGACCCACTATTGATTTTTCTATATTTGCCCGCAAGATCCAAACTACAAAAAAGATATATATCACCATCCTATGATACAAAGACTCAAGATCATATAGTAAAATCCTTTCACTAAGCATGGGTGGTGCATATATAATCACTTTTGCTGGTCAAATTCTCAGACAGACTCTGCCAATGCTAGGCAGCCAGCCAAAGGAAAGACATGAGGTAGAGAGAAGACTAAACTTAACCCCAACAAGTGCTTGAGGCAAGTAAAAATCTTTATTCTCAGAGGGACGTAACAATACACATCACTCACTTCCCCTTCTCCATATCTCAGCTTAATAAAAGGAATGAGATGAATTGTCTGTCTTATTTTGTCATGGATATTTTCCAAAATATAAGCCACGCTCTGAAGATGTGATGAACGGGAAGAGAATTTGTGTAAAGCATAAAGCAAGGGTGTCTATTAAAAAGTCACCATATAGGCCAGACTAAGATCTGAATAATGAAAATCTCCATTTTTAATCCCAAGAGATACAACCATCAGTGTTATAGTCTGTGAAAAAAAAGAAGTATCAAGTATATAAAGATGGGGAAAAAGGCATTAGAACTTTCCGGTCACCATTACTTAGAGAGACATCCATTACTGCTGTAGCTAACCACCATTGTCATCTACCTGAAGCTGCCAATGCTGTACTTTGCAAAATGCATTTGTGCTCAAG